ATTTAATTAATAATTTTTATGAAGAATACTCAGTTATATTAGAATATCTAAACAGATGGGATAGCACATCAAAATAAATTTACATAGTTTGTAGTATTAATGGAATAGTCTAAATTCAATTATCCCTCGATTACTGAATATGTATTGGAAATCTTTTATGTCAAAACACATTTCTTATCATTATCTGAATAATTTAGATCGTAATGATGATAATTAAGAAACAGAACAGAATCTTATAACAAGTTATTTTGATAATTAAATCTATTTTTACATACTTTAATTATAGTTGATTATTATATCCTAAATTATAAATGTACCCCATTCTTAAATCTCTATCAAATAACTAATTCTCTGTTTATGTCAAATTTCAACAAATATAATTATTCATACAAACTAAGTCAACCTACTTATTTTTCTCTCTCATTAGCATATTCTACAATTGCATATAATTTTATTATATAAAGTTAATTTGATTCTTCATTATTAAGAAATAACATAATAATAATTTTTTTAATTGTTGTAAATTCAGTTATTTATGGTAATTCATCTTTATTATTAATAGATTTTTTTCTCTACAACAACTTTTTCTATTACATTCATTAAATTATTTTTGAATGATTTTTCTATTAAATACTCTGAAATTCTTGATAATACTCATCTTCTTAATTTGATTTACCTTGATCTAATATATACTCAATTTCTAAATCTTTAATTTAATCCTCTATTATTTTTGCAAGTTTATCTTGATTATTAAATGATGGATAATTATTGATAAATTTCTTTAAGATTTCTATAATTTTTTGTTTTCATTTAATAATATATACTATTTAGTAATATTCTAACAAATATCTTCAACTGTCAGTTTTATTATTATATTAAATTCATTAAAATTAAATTTTCATCCACCTATTGATAAAAATTCTTATTGTTTTTATTATTCTAAAATAGATATTCCAAAAAATCTGTAAATAAATAAATTTAATTAAATAGTAAAAAATGAATTCTCCTGAAAAAGTATCCCTTTCATTAAACTCTAGAAAAAATAAGGAGAAGGAGAATAAAACTCGAAAGAAGAATCTTTAGAAAGAATTTATAAATTTCTAATTATGTCTAATATCAAATTTATTTATATAAAATAATTTAATTTATCATCAAACTCCTCCAAATGCCATTGTAATTCATCTTTAAGTTTGCATCATATTAAAAATCTAATTCATTTTGTATAAAACATGATGATCTGAGATATGCAAAGTTATAACATAAATTTATTTTGTTATAAAGATTTTAAAATGTTTATAACTTGAATTAACTTAATTTTCTACTAAATTTTATTAATTTTTGAAATTCATTTTGTGTAAAGGTATTATGAATCTGTTGGGAATTTAAATAAGCTATTTCTAATAAATTTAAAAAGATTTAAAATACAGAGATAGCACTAAAAGAAATGGAATTATTTAATATAATTTTATAGTATCAATTTTAAAAGTAATCCAAGAAGCTATAAACAATATAAATATAAGGAGAGAAATAAAATTAAGAATAAATGAAATAGTGGAGTGAGTAGAAGGATAAGAATGAAGTGATGATTTATATTTAATAATAATAATAATATCAGACAAATAAATTACAAATAATTGTTCCATATTTAATATTAATAAACTAAAGAACAAAATAAAGGAATATGCAGTATTGTATTTAAGAGATGAATTGGGATCAAGGAAAGTGTTACCATTTTTGCATTTGCGAAATAGAAAAATTTGTTAATGATTATGAAACTGTTGCATAAAGTATTCTATTCCTAATTAATGATAAATTTAAAAATTATTTTAATATACATTATGATTTTAATTAGAGTATAAAATGAATACAAAAAGAAATCATACAATTTAAAGATTGTTGAACCTGCATTAATTTCTAAATCTATTGAATATTGATCTTTATAAAATATAAAGCCATTATATATTTTAAAATGGTTACTAAACATCATGCATTACCTTATGTAATTATCTATCTTTTACATTATTACATCAATTCCAGTTATGCAGATAGAATTAATAATAAATACTCTCATGAATATCTGAATATAAATTAATTACCATTATTTAAGAGAGAATTTAAAAACAAGGGAATAATTTGTTAATTTTCAAGCCTTAAAATATGAAAATATCAATCGAGATGGCTGTTACAAATAATTTAGATTTTTTACTTGAGATAGGTCTTAAATTAGAATTTCAAATAATTCATAAAATGAAAATGTCAATTAAATCATTTATAATTCAAAATGCGATCATGCATTTATTATTTTTAATAATAGATTTGTAATTAAATTTGTATTCCTAAGTGATTAGATGTTAAATTAATGGATTAAGAATACAATCCAAGTTTAGTTTATGCCCTTTATGTAATTCTTGGTTAGAATTCTAATTATCCTAACCACAAAATCTTGTTAATTTATTGGCATTCTAAGCTCTTAAAGTTGGGACCAAGAAATTATTTTTGATATATTAAAACATGAAATTAGTAAAGAAGGTAAATAATTTTATAGGAGACTCTATAATATTGCTATGGCTATTTATTATTATTATTAATGCAAAAATCCTTATTTTTGAGGAGCTAAAGATTATTATGATGTTAGAGAAACAATAAAGCTAATGGAAAAGAAGATATCGAATTCATAAATTACTGTATGATTTTTCTCGGTTTTATTTATTATATTCTCAAAAAAGTAAACCTCACTTTTGTAAAAAGTGATAATGAAATAACTATTTATTTTCTATTTATATCTTAATTAAAAACCCAATTCAAAAAATTTTTTGATCAAATTATACCTATCTAATTCCTAACTTTTTCTTTAACAATCAAATTTTTTTCTATTAGTGATAACTTTCTTTTATAAGTTCTTTATTTATTATTATAATTTTTAATTTTTCACAATACCAATTTAAGAATGTATAAAACCTTTAATAGATGACCCTTTAAGTTAACTTAAGCTAAAATCTCATTATAAGATTGTCTTGTGTGAAATGGATATATTATGAAGAAACTATACTAATTTAAACTTAAAATCTAGAAGGTTTATTAAAGCAATTAAGAGATTTAAAATTCTGTTATTTGAAGGAGTCCTTATCTTTTATATTAAATTTTACAGATTCAGCAATTTAATTCCTCTCATACTAAATATTTTAGGGAATGAATTTTCATTAACAAACTTGATTCTATTAGTTTTTTCAAAATATCTAGGATGAGTATATTATGCTTATGGAAATGTAAATTTATTTGAGTTTTATTTTTTTTAAATATTGCTAATTTTCTTAAATAACAACATGCAAATATAAAGGATTTTATTTATATTTATTTTACTATTAAATCAAAGCAAATGACTTATTAATAGTAATTTAATAATAATTTCATTTTAATTTACATAATCTACAATATTTTATAATTTTTTACTTTTCCTTTGTTAAGTAGAATATAATGGATTTACTAATATTCAAATTTAGATTTTTGAATTTAATAAAATTGAAAACAATCCCTTATTTTTTTATTATCGATAATGTATTGGTGATCTATTATTAAGACTTCAATTTACAGTTTTATTTAGGATAATACTAATTAAAAGAAGATAAATTTTAACATATCTATATTATATTTATAAAAAAAGGCAATTCTTATATCTCATTAACTTTTGCCACATTATCCTTTTAATAATTAGTAAATCAAAAAAATAATTAATTGATAATTTCAGGTAATACTTTTACTTTTGATTATTTTTAGAGTACATCCATAACCAAAGATTTTTCAATTATTGAAATTTCATATATCTATTTACAAAATATGCATTTGAATCAATAATTATTTTATTGATACTGAATAATAATAATAGAATAAAAGCATTATTTATTGAAGTGATGAATAGTGTATTTGTAGATTGTATTTAAAATAAAGTTCATTTTTCTGCGTGTTTATCATAATTTTTTTCCATTTTTAATATTTTTAAGTGCAAGGTTAAAATATCGGTCTACCTAAATTAACTGTTGTCATCAACTATAACAAAACTCTTTTTATGTGTAACCCTATAATATAAAATATTAATTATTTATTTTATTTACCATCTGTTTGATCTATATTCATTAAGAAAGCTGTAGATCATAGTTATAAATTTAATAATAACTTTTGCAAAAAGAATGATTCCAAAAAAACATATAATTTATTTATTAAATATATAAATAAATAAGTATATAATAATGAATTTAAAATTTAAGATCATAAACTTATAAAAAAGTTAAAGAGAATTAAATTAATTATTTAATTATAATAAATCCTCATATACTTCTCTAATGTGTACTCTTATACTATGACCAATTATAAAATGAGAAAAGAATAGATAGTTCAACCAGTCATGATCTATAAAATTTTCAAACAATATGAATTTCTAGGATCTAACTTAATTTTTTATAACATCTGTATTTGTGTATGAATCATTATATCAATAATAAGGTAAATATTTTTAAAATAAGGTATTTTCAAATTTATGAATACTTATTATTGGTTTTAGTAATATATCAATAATTTAAATATTTAGGGATATTAAAAGATGCTTAGGTTTAGTGATATTGAAAGATTAAAAGAAATAGTTGTCTAGTTGTCTTCTTTAAAGATAATTGTAAATCAAATATAAATTTAGAAAGATTATAATATTATGATAATTAAAGAGTGGATATAATAAAATATGTTGCAAGAATATTATAAAAATAATGTAGTTTTGTTTTTTTTAATTAAATAAAAGATGAATAAATTGATGGTTAATATTTAGTGGAGAACTTCAAGATCTTTCTAAATATTTATGTATGTAAAATAAAAGATTAATACATTTAAAATCAAGTTCTTTAGACAATGAAAAATTGTTTTGACAGCTTAAGAGAACCAATTTTTCAAAGAGTGTATGGAGTCAGGTATATATTAATAATTTCCAAAATAATTACTAGAAAGGATTAGAAACGATGTGTTTTCAATTTTATTAAGAGACCCTTTAACTGAAGAAGTTAGGGAACAGATTTATCAGCAAGATATTACATATATTTTTAAAGGAATGGATACAATATCTCATTATTGTTTATGTTAGCTAAATATCCTTAAATTTTAACAGAGAGAATAATTAAATGAGATTGTTTTTGAGGATATTGTTTAAAGATTAATAAATACTTTAAAATTATTAAATGCATTTATAAATGAAAGTCTAGGAATAAAGTGATGGAATAATTGCAAGATTAGCTGTTAAAGATTATTAGATGGGATATTATTTAATCAAAAAAGATTGTTGTTATGTTCATCCAGAATATTTTTTAATTTAGAAAGATGGTTAAATACATCAGAATCAGAAGCATTTTTACCTTTTTTCAAATGGTTCAGTATTGTTTAGGACCTTTTAGTAAAAATAGAAACTATATTACTTATTTATATAATAAACATGTAAAGATATTATAGATCCACATTGAAAGTTTCTTTAATATTTATTTCGTGACAGATAGAGAGACATTTTCAATAAGGGACAAACTTTATTTAATTTATACAACGTCAATTTTCACTCTTCATTATCCAAACAATTATTTTACAACTTTGGCTCACGTTAAATAATTTTTATCGCATACTTTATTACTTATTTTATAATATTTTAAACCATTAAACTAATACTGAACTATATTTAGTACTTCATATATACTATAAATATTCGAAATATGAATATAAAGCAAAAAAATGATATTAAACAAAAAATAACCCATAATATTAAAATTAGAGTTTAAAATTGAAAATAATATATTATGGCTAAAATCACAATTGTAATATATTATAATTTTTTATTATGATTTTACTACTACTTTATTAATTAATGCTATTTGCTAAGTTATTTTAGATTGAATAGATTAGGAAATTATTAATTAGGAAAGTTCTGGCGCAAATTCTGATACAGAATATTTTAATTACCGACTCTTCTAGAAAACTTTTGACTGAATAGCTTCTTGCAAATTTAAATCTATTATCAACTAAAGTTTCTCATCAAAAGATCGTTTAGTCTTATTTGTTTTAATATAAAAAGACTATATTATGAGTAACATTTAATAAGCTTATTTATATTTAACTCAAAAAATATATACTTTCTTTTAAATTCATGGCTAACTTTTCAAATCCTTTATTTATTTTACAGAATCAGATACTTTCATAATTTACAATATCAATGCGAATATTTTTGTCAAGAATTTAAAACTAAATTATCAATCTAAAACATCGCTTTATATATTCTACATAAAAAAATAAAGGGCAAAGATACTATCAATTGAGAGTATTTTATAAAGAAAATGAATTTGCTTTTATTACAGAAAATTAATCATAATTACATTATCAACCATAGTGAATAAGAATAGAATAAAATATTAAACAAAAAATTCAGATAACTTTCAAATTTCGACTTATTTAAATGTTTTAATTTTGTTACTTCAAAGATTGATGAATTGAAACCCATCTTAACAATTTTAGAATATCAAAGTGCACTAGAATATACCTGGAAAGTTTGAAATTAATTACAGATTTATAATTCTTTAAGTTTGATAAACTCAAATAAAATGAGCTATTTATAATATATTCATTCTTAAGATGAGTGTTCAAATCTCCTTTCTAATAATATTGCCCTAATCATATTTTAATTCTATTTCAAAGATGGGTTATTGTTATCTTTTAGCTCTATTCTTTTTATTCAAAAAGAAACAGATAATTAGTAGGAAACATACTAAAATCATAATTATAAAATTTATATTGAATTATACATTACTATTTGAAGTTTCGATTAATTGAAAATATAACACTATTAAATTAATAGTATGTATAATTAATTCCCCCTCACATTACTACTACGTTATTAGATCCAGTTATAAAATCCATGATATTCAACATAAGTAGTTCGCCAAATTTAGAGACTAAATTCTTAGGGCGATTTTCAATTAATTGAGGATAGTGAATATTTTATTAAATATCTAACTCTAATTAAGATTACCAAAAATTTATGTCTAATTTTCTACAAATTCATCTATCTACTAAAAATTGAATAATTTAAATTCTGAAATTTCAACTAAATCATCATATTATAATTGATATGTATAAAATATATTCAGAAATTTATGCACACAAATGTAGATCCATTTTTCAGAACTAAGCAATAAACAGAAAATACTCTTAATTAATTTTTTTTTATAGGAACTGTTCTAATAATTAGTAATTAAAATTGTGTTTTATTTATAAAATATTAGTGATTTTTAGTAATTAATATCTAAAATATTTAATATTTAACATTAATCCATTTCGTTCGAAAAGAAAACAGATTGTGTACCCAAAAATTTCATGACCTAGTCAAATAAGGATATTGTGCAATTTTAATGATATGCTATCAAATATTTATTTGTAAGACTAATTTTAGTTATATACTTTGTTAAATTGAACTNATATTTTTGTCAAGAATTTAAAACTAAATTATCAATCTAAAACATCGCTTTATATATTCTACATAAAAAAATAAAGGGCAAAGATACTATCAATTGAGAGTATTTTATAAAGAAAATGAATTTGCTTTTATTACAGAAAATTAATCATAATTACATTATCAACCATAGTGAATAAGAATAGAATAAAATATTAAACAAAAAATTCAGATAACTTTCAAATTTCGACTTATTTAAATGTTTTAATTTTGTTACTTCAAAGATTGATGAATTGAAACCCATCTTAACAATTTTAGAATATCAAAGTGCACTAGAATATACCTGGAAAGTTTGAAATTAATTACAGATTTATAATTCTTTAAGTTTGATAAACTCAAATAAAATGAGCTATTTATAATATATTCATTCTTAAGATGAGTGTTCAAATCTCCTTTCTAATAATATTGCCCTAATCATATTTTAATTCTATTTCAAAGATGGGTTATTGTTATCTTTTAGCTCTATTCTTTTTATTCAAAAAGAAACAGATAATTAGTAGGAAACATACTAAAATCATAATTATAAAATTTATATTGAATTATACATTACTATTTGAAGTTTCGATTAATTGAAAATATAACACTATTAAATTAATAGTATGTATAATTAATTCCCCCTCACATTACTACTACGTTATTAGATCCAGTTATAAAATCCATGATATTCAACATAAGTAGTTCGCCAAATTTAGAGACTAAATTCTTAGGGCGATTTTCAATTAATTGAGGATAGTGAATATTTTATTAAATATCTAACTCTAATTAAGATTACCAAAAATTTATGTCTAATTTTCTACAAATTCATCTATCTACTAAAAATTGAATAATTTAAATTCTGAAATTTCAACTAAATCATCATATTATAATTGATATGTATAAAATATATTCAGAAATTTATGCACACAAATGTAGATCCATTTTTCAGAACTAAGCAATAAACAGAAAATACTCTTAATTAATTTTTTTTTATAGGAACTGTTCTAATAATTAGTAATTAAAATTGTGTTTTATTTATAAAATATTAGTGATTTTTAGTAATTAATATCTAAAATATTTAATATTTAACATTAATCCATTTCGTTCGAAAAGAAAACAGATTGTGTACCCAAAAATTTCATGACCTAGTCAAATAAGGATATTGTGCAATTTTAATGATATGCTATCAAATATTTATTTGTAAGACTAATTTTAGTTATATACTTTGTTAAATTGAACTGACCTTGATAATCAATTTTCTAAACATTATTATTAGAAAATTTGATTATAAAATAAAATATACCAAAATGGTCTTAAGTCATGACACAAAATTTGTTTTTTTCTTTTAATATAACAATTGATCCAAATAAGGTATCACAAGATAAGCGAAATCTTTCCACTTTTTCTGTCATGCTATTATAAATAGTTACTATATTATTTTATTAACATTAAATAAAAAGACCATTACCAAGATAATAAAAATATTAATTTAAATCTTGTGAATTTAACCTTATTGAGAGAAACAACCTATAAAAAATGGGTTTATTCTAAAAAATGCCTATTTTCTTATTTTTTTTAATTTTCTTTTTATTCATATGTGGTAAAATTAACTTCATAGCAACCAACATAAAAGTAAGAGGAATATAAATGAATATTATATAATCCAAGAATTAAAGGTGTATTATTAATAAAATAGGTTCTGTAATTGTTTGATATATAATTAAGTTTCACTAAAATTAATTTATTAAAAATATCTAATCCAATAAAATAATTTGAAAATAAACTATAAAATATTTTGATTGGAATGTAAATAGTCTGCCTAATAATTGCACTATCAATTATTTATATATGATTAGAATATACTA